ATTGTTATTGTTATTGTTGATGTTGCTGTTGTTGTTTTGTTTTGCTTTGCTGTTATATCATTATTACCATCAAATAATGCGTATATTTCTTTTCATTCATATATTATTAAATTCTAAAAGTGGAAATATGATTGTATGGTGAGGAAGAAATGGGAAGTAGAAAAAGGAAGGATATATAACTGGTACATACATATATATATATATATATGTATATATATATATATATATGAAGATTAATTGCATTCTTTTCTTGAATTAAAATTTGATTTTATGATTATTGCGTTATTATTGTTACTATATTAGCATTATCATCAATAATTGTACTGACGAAATAGTTCAAAATATATGCTTTTTGTATGTTATCTTTTATTGTCTATTTATTCCACCATATTTCCATATGTAAGACTATGAGTCATAATAAATCAATTGTAATAATTACATAGATGATAGCAAAATATCAACAACATGTTATTGCTATATTATATATCTATTGGTACTTGTTGGTATTCATTGAATTTTACTTTTTTTTTCCTTCTCTCTTCCTTTCTCGTTTACGTCACATTATGAACTATTGAAATTGAGAAGAAAAAGTGTATAAATTGTGAGTATATAGTTGAATTTTCTTGCTTGACTGTCTTTTTTTTTGTTGATAATTTTTCAAATATCTTTTCCTACTATGATCATAATCTTTCATTTTTTTTTATTTGTGCCTTAATTACGCTATCGGTAGATAGTTGAATACAAATGCGCAATGGTATTTGTGAGAAAATGGACGATGATAATGCCTATTAAAGATATCGTCATCGTACATTACTCATAGCAATCTATGATATAGTATGCATATATATATATATATATATATATATATATGGCTTGTCATTGGAATGTCCTCTTGTTCACGTATATTTCATTAAAGGTAGTTGGTTGTATTGACAAGGACATACATATATACATGTTGTACATGCCTACAAATTTTTCGTCTTTTTTCTGTCAAAAACGATGCCATTCATCGATTTAATCTATCAACAATCAACCTTAACCATATTTGAGCCAATGACAACTGGTTTACTACTATGAAATATATCTACTATACTCTGATGTCATACCTTTGTATTTCCTCTAGTTATTTCGTATTTTAACTATTCCTGTTTTCTTTTCTATTTGATGATATAATCTTATTAGCATCTGTATAATTATTATTGTTGATGATAATATGGTATTGATAGTAACACAGCGTTGATGATTGCTGTGTTGGTTTGAATGGTTGCTTAGTAAGTTATGCTTACTTTGGTTGGATGAGAATTGACAGCTCTAGAGAGGATGACATTTCCTAACATCGTGACCTTACACCATTCATCGCTTCAGCATTGTTTGCTATATGTTTCCGAAAACTTAGAAAATGTTGCACAGCAGAGGATGATGAGACATTACGATAATGATAATAATGAATGACAATAAAAGGAGGGAGTAAGAGGAAAAAAAAGGAGAGGGAAAGGGAGAAGAGTGGAAGTTGTAGAAAAATGGATGTGAGATTGGGCGACATATTTGGAAGAAATGAGGTATTACAAACTGTAGTCATTGATTGTTTGTCAAAGCTTGTAACAATCATTATGTACCTTTTGTCATCGTCACTACCGCATACACATTCTTACTTTCTTTTTTCTTTTTGTCTTATGTTTCGCTGATAATGATGACGAAACAGTGATATAACGATGGTGATAATGATGATAGTAATGATAATGACTGTGACGATGATGAAGACAGCCATGGTAATGATGATTTATTAGTATAGTTGGTGATAATGATTACGATGACAATATGTTGATTACGATGACAACATGATAATGATGATCGTCGCCGTTGCCTTTTACAATTCATCTCCACTATTATTTCGTTCCATATTTACTATTTAATGTTTCTCTATCAATGTTCCGTCATAAATGAGTAATATTTACTCAAGCTTTTCTTCACTCCAAAAACAAAAAACGATCATTTTTTATATTTGCAAAAGGAAAAAAAACGAAGTTATGCTACAATATTCATAGATCATTGTTTATCTTCAATGATTTCTAGTCTAAAACGATAGTATATACTAGTGATATGATCTGATAAGAATTGATAACATAGAAGGGAAGATATTCTTTTCGCTGTCTCCCATATATATAACTTCTTTTATTGTTACTTTATGCTTTGTGCTTATTCTCAGTTATATGCAACAAATTTGTGTCAAATATATTTAAAGACTTATAAGATATAGGTGGTTTGTGTAAATAGTGTAAATGATTAACTAGTTGAAAAAAAAAATAGAACAAGGTATGTTAGAAATGTTATGTCTTATCCTATTCGTAGTAATTTTTTTTTACAGATGATACATTCCAATGTATCAATACGTACATCGTCTTCAGTTATATGCATCAAATTTGTGTCAAAAATTTGGGTCAGCTTATTTGTTTTGATCTCAACAGGATATTTTACAGTTTGTTTTTTTTCCCCGGACATTTTTTCTGTTTTTTTTTTTTTTTTTTTTTTTGATTTAA